CAACAACAGGAGGAACTGTGACCCTTAGAGCAGCTTCTTCCAGGTGCTGCTTCATGTTGGTCTCCCAAGTCCACAGAATTCTGTAGCACAGATCCCCATAGAAATATACTTTCCTATCTGGTGACAGAAATAAAATCAGTTAATGGGCTACCCTTGCCCCCATAGTTTCCCTATCATATTTCATGAGTTTTGCCCTTCCTTCGCTTTTCTATCTAGCTATGGGCTATGTGTGTCCAAGGTTTCTCAACAAAAAGTGCAGCTAATTTACTCCCTAAATTGTCCCATCGTTCTGAACATAATTGTCTCTTGACGATACTTTGTATCCTACAAAGTCCAATCTGTCCTACAAAACACAAATGCGAAAAACAACAACCAAACCCACCCCAATCTAATCAAAGCCAAAGGGGCTGAGTGTAGCAGGAGTCTTGCTAACTCTGGGTAGGAGCTACCTTGCAAAAACCATGTTGGTTATTATGGATCAGGATCTTACTGCTGCACATCTACTCGCATATGTCAGCAAAGACATTTCTCTCAGCTGAGATGCTCATAAATCAGAGGGTTAATGACTTCCAAAATCTCTGTACCCAACTGTGTGTACCAGGCAGGAAGTGAACACTTAATGTGTAATGCAGTGTTTACATTCAAACCAGTGCCAACAAATAATTGTTGGAAAAGTTATAAATGAGGCTGAACTGTCATATTTGGGACTGTTGCTCATGAATTTTCCTATTTCCTTTAAAGATATTTTACAGAAAAAATGCATTAGACCTCAAAAGTAGGACACTTTGAACTACACACATCATCCCTGCTGCTGGTAGCCTGTGGGATTATGGACTCTGTAATTTTTTGGACTATGTTTGATAATTGATCCCTTAGTTGCATAGCATGTTTTCATCAGAGTAACCACTTGTGAGCATGTGTGTGTGTGTGTCTGTCTCAAGGGTGCGTTATAAAACAGAATTAAAAACTTACATTCAGGATTGGGCATGCGCTGCGAAGTACTGTGTATCATGTGTGAAGTTTATAGAGTTTTCTTGTAGTTACTGAGCACAAGAAAGGTTGGAATTCAGCACTCTGTAATCCTGAATCCCAAAGTGCTTTTCCTCTGTAGCTGAATATGTTCCATTTTCATGGAAGTCTTACTTAGTAAAATAGTCCCAGGGACGCAATAAATAATGCTAATTTATTTCCATGAAACATGTTCTGCTGTCTAGCTACATAAAAGGCATAGTACAAATGCATTCAAAATTCAAAAATGAAAAATGTATCCTTGGAGGGCAAATTATGAGAAATCAGCAGGAGCACCCTGGAATAATTTTGTTAGTTGCCCTTCAGGATCAGCAATGAAACATGAATTATCAACATTTTGTCAGTTCATAAAGGGCTAAATATTTGAGAAAATGATTTTAAGAGAATTTGTCATTAAATAAGGATGAATGATTTTCAGTGGGACAAGCTGCTCATTGCAAAAGCCTAATGACTGCAAACACTACCAAAATGCAAGAGGTAATTTGTTATTATAAGAATATTAGCAGTGTTTAAGGATCTTTTTATTGCCCTGAACCCTTCTCCCATCCAAACCTTTATTGATTAGGGATTTAAGAGATTTTGTAGAGACACGTTTGGTTTTTTTTATATACTGATAAAATTGGAGCAAAATATTCTCATTATAAAGTGGTTTAATGGTTTTGTTCATCTCTTGGAGAAAACAACTCCAAAACCAGAAAAGGAATCAACAGTTAGTTCTACCACTAATGCCCTTTCAGTACATGAGGCCAAAGTAAGTTTTAGAATAATGGTATTGAAGCCAAAAGAGCAGGACAGTGACCTGACCTCCCTGGGAAATGACAGAGAAGCCTGACTGACGCTTTCCTAGTTACAAATACAAAATGCAGTCCTGACTTCATTGACATCAATGGAAATTTCCTCACTGATTTCAATAAAAGGAAAACTGGACTGGGCTCTCTGCCTTTGTCTCCTGGAGCCCTGTTCACCTCGATCCTCTTTAGAAAACTCTGGTGAGGGAATTTGGGGGCTGTGTCAGTTCCATGAGGATTCCCCTGGGGGTCTGTGTCAGGCTGCCTTGTGAGTTTGGTCTCTGCCCTCACTTCTCACTGGCCGTGTCCTGCAGTCGTGCAGAGCCTTAGCAAGCAGCGACGAGCATTCGCTCCCTGGGGAACCGTTTGCACTGGCAGGGGTAATGCCATTTCAATCTTTTTGTCTCTGAGCAGTGAATAATTAGCTAATACATTGGAGCCCCTATGGTGAGTGGCTGTTCCTCAAACTATCCTGTTTTACAGGAGGAGAGGAAGTCACAGAAATTCAGTTACGCATTTGTGCCCCCAGGCTCCTTATCCAATCTGTAGTTTCTCTCCTCTCATCTTCTACCATGGATTCCCATACAACTTCCTCTGGGCACTGTGCCTGGGAGGGGACTGAAGTTACTGCAGTTTGGCAGACTCTTAAGACAGAGACATTTTCCTTCAGGCTGATACTTGTCTGTATCACAGACAGAGTATGTGGGATGTGATAGTGAAGGGCACAGCCATGGAGTTTTGAAAGCCAGTAAAATCAAGATCCATTTGTCTCTGCCTTGGTAAGGTGTGAAGCATCTTGAGATTACAAAAATTTTTCTTTCTTTCATACAAAGAGAAGGTGACAGCCAGCTATCCGTTTGTCTCAGTGATACAGATTAAGACTCTGCTGAACTCCCTTCGTTTCCTCACCTCTGAGACCTCCAGGGAGGTAGTCAGCTCAGCCTCATATCAGCCCAACGCCAGTTGTGAGGAAGAAAATATTAGCATTTTTAAAGAAAATGGAATCAAAATTAAGTATGCAAAAGCAATTAACTTGGTGAAAACAGAGGTTGCTAGAGAATGACTCCACATCCACAGATGAAAGGCAAGTGCAAAACAGATTTGGTTGCCAACTGTCATCATTATTTTGTGTGAGTTGAAGAGATGGAGCCCTGTGCTGTTTCACCTGAGCGTACACTGGGAAAGAACCAGCTGGTTTTGGCTTTACTGGCTCAGGCAATTTCATCTTTAAGGAAGAGCACAGCTTTTGCCTGTGGCTCCCTGGAAGCACTGTGTGCCTCATCCGTTGGAGAACAAGATCCCAGTATGATTCTCTGCTGCCTTGCCTTCCACTTTGCTGTTGGACTGTACACATTGTATGCCCATGGCCTTAGGAATAGCAACATTCACCCCCCTGGGAAATTACTAGTCTTTTCTCCTATGAAATGTGAAACACCTTTTTTCTTGGCTTCTGAGGAGTGTCTTCTCAATATTTAATTACTTGGTGGAGTGGGAATCTGTTATGTGAACCAATTTCTTTACTGTCTTGTCGTGGTTTAACATGTCTGAAGCAATTCTCCATACCAGTATCACTTTGGCCTTTACTGGATTGGACTCATATGTCTATAATATTTATCCAGTGGTTTTAAGGTTGCCTAAAATTACCTAGCAGCTGCTGGGAAGATGTTTAGAGCACTGTTAGAAAATTGTGTTATTAGAGAATCATGTCACAGAGCGGGGGGAGAGAGAGAGAAACAAGCTTTCTGGTATGCGATTGGATAATTTCAAAGGAGAATATTGTAAAGATGTGAAATTTAGAAATGGCAGTGGCCATTTTACTATTATTTCACTCGCAACATATGCTGCTCTTTATCAATCGATGCTCTTAGGAGGAACCATAAACCCATATTCCTAAAGAGGTTTTGCAAGACTTTTTGAGACTGAACATTTTGTTGACTTTTTTTCTGAAACAAAAAAATTAATGAAGATAGAAAAAGTCTTTTAAAAATACCAAACTAAGTAAGCTTTAAAAAACTGAACATTCGCTGTAGCTGGCACTGTTACAGCATTTGAAACTTAAATGCTGAAGCTTTGTGTTAGTATTACAGGATCAGAATATGACTCTAGTGAGGAATAAAATGGAAAGCCACAGGCTGTTTCCTTTGACCACTGAGCAAAATGACAGAAGTAAATGAACAAGTAATGTGTGTTTCTTAATACTGCTTTTTAATTCTCCATCACATAAGATGAATTGATGAAGCATGAATTGCTTTCCTTGGAGTGTGGCTTAAACCGAGTCTTGCTCCAGATGGGAACGTGCACTGATTTCAGTGGGAGCTCTATACTAGGGAAGGTACCTACCACAGTAACTAACTGTACCAGTTTCTATTTACAGCCTTCTGATAGCACTGAATCTCATGCCGGGCTGTGGCAGGGTTGGGCACGGAAACCCCTTCCTGAGTCTTCCTGACTCCTGGCAGTCTTCCTGAGCCAGACTAAAATAGCTTCTTGCAGCTAGAGGTCTAACCCAGTGCCACTGTATAAAACTGACAATGAGGGCTTTTGGGTCAGACCTTCAAAGGCAATTTTCCCTCATTTTTTGTGTCTCGTTTTAGATCCATTTTCTCATAAGAACAGCTGTCAGATCATATACACTGTGCAAACTTTCCCACCAGGCTGCATATAGCTGCATATTCTCCCCATTCTCTGAAGGACAAACTGCTGTTTAAAGTGCACGAGGTTGTATTTTCAATTCCTAACATGATGGGAAAAGGTGAAAGGAATATGCAAAAAAACAATGGTAACTACATTGTCAGCATCATGATTTCTTTGAGTGTAAACCAAATTTTCATCTCACACAGATTAATTTTGAAAAATAAAATATTATTTTAAGCAGTCAGTCCGTTCCCCTGTCCCACACCCTCCCCACCCCCTGGGTGTGAAGGCATTAAAGAACAGATACTGAGAGCTAGGTACTTTGGGTACTAGCAACTCCTGTCTCTTTGGCACTAGCTTTAAGATAATCAGAGAGATACTAGAAAAGATAGCCTCTGTTCTCACAAATCAGAACTCTAGAAATAGGTAACTAATGCAATTTGATTTCTGCACTTTTTTTCTATGTCTCTGCAGTACTGAAGGTCACTAGACAGAGGACAAAAAGACTGGTGCTTGTGGTGTGAGAAGCACTGAGGTACCTGGAGGTGGTCAGTGACCAGCATGGTCCTTTTTTGTTCACTTTATAAATACAGAAATAAGTATTCAATAGAGATGTAACAGTGATACTAGAGCAATAATTGGGGGAGGAGGGGAATATTAAGGCCTATTTCAAGGCTTGACTACATTTTATGAAATTATTTCCACATACTACCATGGGGTTCTGATCAAGATGGGTGCCAGACCTCTTGTATTGGGTCCAGCAACATTTTCCCATTACATTAAGTTCTTGTCTTTGATATACAGACACGGTGTGCTAGAATGAATGACTGAGCTTAATTCATCCGCTCTCCTTGATTCCTCCTCTCTTAACTGCAGCTCTCTCTGCCTCATCTCCTAAGTATGCTCATTCAAAGGAAAAAATCCAACTATGACTCAAATCACAGCACCCCTGCTCTAGGGTTTGTATATGCAAAACTGCAGTGATTTGAGGACTGGACAGTGCACACCTAATGCATATAAAGCACTCTGAGCTTGTATAGTCCAAGTTGTTTCTGTTCAGCAGAGGTGTAATGCAAGCATGCTGTAACTTCAGGCTAATTCCCTATCAAAAATAAAAAGCATGTATGAGAGCTCTTCCAACAGGAATCTTAGCCAGGCAAAGCATTTTTTCAAGCATCTTCCTAGTTTTATTTTGTTGCAGTGATTTCATAATTGCTGATGTGAGTTTTTCCTCAGTAATTGTGAAGAAATTTTATTGTGTTTACCTTTTATGTAGAATAGTCTGGATATAAAATACCTTGGTAATAATTTCTTATAGTGAAGAAAATCATAGCACTTAATTTCATTGTTTTAAAATTATGTGGCTAGTCACAACAGAGTAAATCTAACGTTAACTATTTTCATGCTGGGAAGGAGTTACACCACTGTGTTGCAAGCAAGAAAAAACTGTCTCCTTCTGTGAGTCCTCCATATATATAGGTATTTACACCAAAGAAAACATTGTCCTTGTAGCATATTTTCATTCACTCTGCACAAGGGAGAAAAGACATTTAGAAGACATTTGTATGTTTATAAGGAGGCCATCCACTGCCCTTCACAGGAGTTAAATATACAAGGAGCAGGAAACAGAACCCCTTCTCATAGAATATCCTTTTAATAATTTCCCCAGGCTTCCTTATTCTGGAGTGGTAGAAAGGCAAAATATCCCAGCTAGAAACCATTTTGTATCTACTAGAACAGACGATCAGAATTCTCATCAGTTTCCAGGTCGTATGGAAAGTGCTCTTCTACAAACCGTAGGGAGAGTTTTCTGTATGCTATCCAAGAAGACTGGATAACAATGACATTCTGTGGGCAAAACCAGGGCATTATCAGATGTTGGCTAGGATAAGATGGGTGTTTGCTGGTGAGTCAAATGAAGAAACAGACAGCATGGGAGATAGTCGTTTTGAGATGTGTATCTTTCTATATGAATCAATATTGCAAATGAGCTGAAAATTGTACAAACATGCAAATAAAATAGCATGAACTGTTTACAGCAATACCTGAGTATTAGTTTATACCCTGGTCTGTACCAACACAAATTAGGTCAGAGATAATAAATTCAGAAGAAAAGTTGGTAAAAATGAGACTCGTCACCAAAGGCTTACTTAATCCAGGAGGTGATTAACTTTGCACAGTGACTTCTGAGGAAATAATTAAAAGGAACTTATCCTTTTTTTTTTTTTTTTTACAAATAAATCCCCATTAAAAACGAGAATTTGTAAACAGAACTTAAAACTGAAAAAAAAAAAGGTAAATTCATTACTTAATACTGTAGAATTTACTTAAATCACAGTTCTGTAAGATCTATTATTAGTCTGCTAATAGCAACATATATGAACTGTGGTCTGAGACAGGTTATAGTGAGTGTGTTTTGTCTATTCAGTCTATCTGATAACAGTTCCTGAATAGACTCAATATTATTTTCTTTGCTGGTTGCAAGAAGTTTTCATATAGCAACAGGGGAGATATTAACACCTAATGAAATAGGAAAATCTCATTGTAAAGCCAAAGAATTGAATAGGAAAGATTACCTGAGGGGGAAAGAGAACGAAAAAAGGAAGCAATTCAGCTTAATTCATTTTTTAAAACAACAGATTTCATGCTGGTGGCACCCCAATATTTCACTGAATGACAAATCTGTTTCTAGCTCTTCTTGAGCTTATGTTTAATTCATATAGGGAATTTCCACTTAAACACAGGAGTCTGGTCTGTTGGTTTTGTGGTAGCTGATTCCCAGAGATGTGTATGTTCAGCATATGTCAAAAGATCTATACCTCAAGCTTTGTAATGTGGAGATGTACTGAGATCAGATTCTAGGCTCAGATGAAAAAACCTATTAGTTTTTCTGAGACCTCCCTCATAAGAAAGCTGGCTTCTCATGTAAGAGACCTCCAACTTTGCACCAAGTATTTGTATCACACACATTGATTTTTGCAAAACAGGGAGAATTCTCTTTCATTTCCTGGTGTGAGGGGATGAGGTCACATATTGCCTTGGTATTGAGAATTTCTCTGGGCGGCATTTTAAATAGGACACATTCCCAGGCTGGGTATATAATTAAGAAAATTTCTCTAAGGCTGTGATATGTGATATAGCTGTGACTGTGATAAGAAACAGCTGTTTGTTCAAGAAAGTAAGCAGCTCCCTTTCCATCCCAAAGCTGCTCAAATCTTGGGTCTAAGCTGCTTATGAATAAAGCACAGTGAATTAGGGGCCTATATCTTCCCTAAAACAGGCAGGTGGGGAGGGATGAGGAACTGGCATGGCCATTACTCTGTCCCTCTTCTTGGCTGCTGGAAAGATTTGGCAGGTGCAAGTTGAAATGGAAAGATGTACAGCAATTTACTACACACCTTCTCCTGAGCCAGGAGGAAGCAGAGAGCACAGCTGGATGCAGAGCCCCTTGGCTGGTGCCCCTGTTCTCAGGCTCAGAGAAAACCAACCTCTGCACCAAAGCTGCTTGCCGCTCCTCACAAAATCTAGATCAGGCTGAGGCAGGCTGGACAGTAGTAATGACTTGTTATTCACAAACAAATGAGCTAAATCGCTGGGTTTTCTGCAAGCCGTGCTTACTTGAGTGCTGAAACAATATAATGCAAGATCAGCTATTTTGTCTCATCTGCA